TGATGCACGAAGTTCGTCTCGCTTCGATCCTAAATCGCTTTCGGCCGCATTTCGACGCCAGATCCGCGAGTCCATCTCGCCGATCCTAAATCGCCTTTGGCTGCGCCCGACACCGAGATCGCATAAGTTCGTCTCGTCCGATCCCTAAACTGCCTCGGCTGCGCTCGACACCAAGATCCACAAGTCCATCTCGTCCGATCCCTAAAACTACCTCGGCTGCGCCCGACGCCAGGATCCACGAGTCCATCCGTCTCCCCCGATCCATAAACTGTCTCGGCTGCGCCTGACGCCAGGATCCGCGAGTCCGTCTCGCCCGATCCCTAAACCGTCTCGGCTGCGCCCGACGCCTAGATCCGCGAGTCCGTCTCGCCCAATCCCTAAAAACGCCCGCTGACAAAACCCCCCAAGCGATTCTGCCCGAATCGCCTAGGAGCTCGGGAGCTACACCCATGGGTGCGCTCCCGCTGACAAAACGAAAAATCCCCCCGCTAGCAACATGAACCCCCCCAGATGATTCTACCTGAATCGCCCAGGGGCTCGGGGGCTACACCCGCGAGTGCGCTCGCACGCACCCATTGTCAAGACAAAAATCCCCCAGACGATTCTACCCGAATCACCCAGGGGCTCAGGGGCTCCTGTCGGGTTCATAAACCCAGGGTCTCTCATAGACCGGCTTTCCAGCAAAGGCTTGGCCCAGCAGACGACGTTGCGAACGACGCACAACTCCTGGGTCAGCCCAAATACCTAAACGACAGGCCAGAAGGGCAATCCAATCTCCGACCGAAAGACCTCGTTAAGGAGGAACAGCGCTTGCTTCCGACTCTGGCCCGCTTCTCCGACCGGAAGGCCTGGCCAAGGAGGAACAGCGCTCGCTTCCGACTTTGGCCCGCCTCTCCGGCCGAAAGGCCTGGCCAAACACCGCTTCCGACTCTGACCCGCGTCTCCGACCGGGGATGCACCGAACCCCTGTTTATAGCTCTTCTCCGACTGGCGCAGTCAAAGCCGACTGAGAACAACCAACCGGGGACGCCCGCTCGGTGAGGACTAGGAAACGGACAGAGCAAGTAAGACAGGACACTCAAGTCAACTGCAATACCGAGGACCGTACCCTATACACCTGCAGAACAGTACCAACAGGGCATGTCAGAAGGGTGCCATGCAACCTTCCAGGCATGTCAGAACCCAAGCAGTGTTGTGGGCACCGACGTTTTGCCCTACAGTGTTATGGGTGCCATCAAATCCCATACCAGGTGAACACGATAAGACTCCCCACATACCTCTGGGCATCAATAGTGTTGTGGGCGCCGTCATTTACCATGCATGGTGAATACGGTAAAACCTCCCACATGCGTCTGACAACAATAGTGTTGTGGGAGCCTACCATCCTCTTGTACCCGACGGCATGGGCAACAAGACTCAATAGCATACGTACTCTCTCTCTCACTTGCAAGGCCGTCTCCTTCATCTATAAAAGGGGATGCGCTCTCTCACAAAAGAGAGATCCAATTCAGATCCATTCACTCACAAAGTGCACTACAGAGAGGCGTGCGTCGCCGAAACGGCCGTCCCCTCCTTCCTTCGCTGGTCAAAATCTCCGATCACCTTTGATCAGAGAGACCATCCATCCCACGTCACCAGACCGGGGCGCTACCCGCTCGTCGTCGACCCCATCGTCCGCAAGAAGGGCCTCACCAAGGTGCTGATGGATGGAGGCAACGGCCTCAACATCCTCTACATCGACACCCTCGACGTCATGCGCATCCCAAGGTCAAAGCTCCGTCGGGCGAGCTCTCCCTTCCACAGCGTGATCCCGGGAGCGCAAGCATACCTGCTCGGGCAGATCGACCTGCCTGTCATGTTTGGCGACCGAGCCAACTTCCGCTCGGAGTTGCTTACCTTCAACATGGTGGACTTCCTGGGGTCTTACCACGCCATCTTGGGGCGGCCATGTTATGCCAAGTTTATGACGATCCCCAACTACACCTACCTGAAGCTGAAGATGCCGGGACCGAACGGCGTCATCACTGTGGGTAGCACTTTCTCGCACGCCTTCACGTGCGACCGCGAGCATTATGAGCTCGCCACTGCCGTCATCAACTCGTTCGAGCTCCCGCGGTTCGGGGAGTTGTCGACCCCAGCAGTCCCGAACTGCAACAAACCAACCTCCTCGATGGCCTTCCGCCCACTCGAGAAAACTAAGGCGGTGGGGATCGACCCCACTGACCTAACAAAGACGGTGCGGATCGGGACCCAGCTCCCGACCAAATAGGAATATGAGCTCATCGACTTCCTACGCGCCAATCGCGATGTCTTCGCATGGAAACCATCTGACATGCCGGGCATACCGCGGGACGTCGCCGAGCACGCACTACGCCTCATCCCGGGCTCGAAGCTAGCCAAGCAGCGTCTGCGTCGCTTTGATGGCGAGAGGCGCAGGGCCATAGGCGAAGAGATCGCCAAACTCCTGACAACTGGATTCATCAGAGAGGTATACCACTCCGACTAGCTTGCCAATCCTGTTCTTGTTAAAAAGAAGACCAGAAAATGGAGAATGTTCGTTGATTATACTGGCCTCAACAAAGCGTGTCCGAAGGATCACTTTTCTTTGCCACGCATAAACCAGACAGTCGACTCCACCTCGGGATGCGAGATCCTCTCGTTTCTGGATGCCTAATCAGGCTATCACCAGATCGCGATGAAAGAGTCTGATCAGCTCGCAACCTCGTTCATCACCCCGTATGGTTCGTACTGCTACGTAACCATGCCTTTCGGCCTACAGTGTTACGGGTGTCATCAAATCCCATACCAGGCGAACACAGTAAGACTCCCCACATGTCTCTGGGTATAAACAATGTTGTGGGCACCGTCATTTACCATACATGATGAATGCGGTAAAACCTCCTACATACGTCTAACAACAACAGTGTCGTGGGCGTCTACCATCCTCTTGTACCCGACGGCGTGGGCAACAAGACTCAGTAGCATACATACTCTCTCTCTCACTTGTAAGGTCGTCCTCTTCATCTATAAAAGAGGATACGCTCCCTCACAAAAGAGAGATCCAATTCAGATCAGTTCACTCACATCGATTCACCCTCTGTTAGCTTTAGACACTCTAAAGCTACATAGAGCGCACGCTCGAATACTTAGCGCACGTAGGAGCTCCCGTCACTCTCGGCCCTTCAGTCTGGAGTCCGACCGGACCTCTTACACCCCCATCTTACTCCCTTTCGTTTGTAACCCCACAGCAAACTTCGAGCACCTGGGCTCAGGAATAAAGTCACCGACCGACTCAAACTACACGTAGAGCACGTTGCCTGAACCAGTATAAACCCTGTGTCATTGAGTGCTAGGCCACATCTGATCACAACGTACAGTAAAACTACAAATATTTACATGTTGGTCAATTTCTACACCGACAATTACAACTGAGGAAAAAAGTTATAGTGATACCTTCCAACAGATAAATCATGGCCCAGAAGCAACGAGTCAAGTAAAGTGGTGAACAAGACGGATACCGCGCAAAACATGGATGGGTAGGTTGGGCCTCGCTGCGTCATGACCGACGAAATCATCACGAAATTCGCAGCAGTGTTGAGTATTGCCTGTGCAAAAGAACAAGAGTACATTTAAGCACTAGGAATGAAGCACTTGGCTAAGTACTTCTTTGGTCCTCAAATACAAGTCGTTTCTTTAAATGTGAATAAATTTATATAAAACAATAATGTTAGTTATGACATTAAGTTAGTATGGCTAGATACATTATTATGAAATATATTTTTACAATGTATATATTTATATGGTAGATGTTAAATATTTTTCTCTATAAATTTGTGTCAACCTTGTGATAGTTTGACTTAGGGCCACTACTATAGAAGTAACTTTTAAAATCGTCACTTTTACCAACCGCTTTAGGAAATGAAAGACATTCCTAATAACGGTTGATATTTCAGTTCACCCCTAACAATAGGTGCTGCAACAAAAAAGTCCATAATTTTTCAAATAAGGTTAATTGAAGAAAAAGTTTATATGAAACTGTAGAGATCTATAAGATCTAAACTTTTCTAAATGATGACTTTTTTATTTGAGATCATTTAGGACTCAAATACACGCTTTATGTTCTCAAATTTTGAATTTAAAATTTTTTCAGCGACCTTAGATGGAGACGCACCCTATATAGAAGTTGCGGAGCTTGACCAAATCCTAAACTTTGTTGTTGAAACTTTTCCAGTTTACATGTTTAAGTCTAAAATATTCAAAAAAAGAATCATAGAAGTTAATACAAATGATGATATCCTATATTTTGTTACAGCTGACAATGTTGTGAGGTGCTTGGGACGGCTTGCGCGAGACATCGAATGCTAGCAATTTTATTTGCACGTATCTCACATGAAAAATAGCGCGACTTATGACTTCTAGAAAGGTTTGATTAATTTGCAAATCAAATTTGACCATCCATATAAATGTTTAGGGCTTAAGCATTTATACCCCTATTTTATAGCGAAATGGTAATTTTACCCTCGTTTTTTTAACTTTGTGATTTTACCCCTATGTTTTCGAAACGAAGGAAGAGTATGCCCCTAACCCGTGAAGTCATGTTAACGGTGTTAGCTTTTAGCAAAAAGACAAGTTTGCTCTGTGATTTTACCCCTATTTTGTCACCGTTTTTTGTGATTTTACCCCTATTTCAAGTCCTAAGATTTGACAGATTTGCTAGAGATGCTGGCAACAAAATTAGACACAATTTTATGCATTCCTTTTATTATTATAAATATATTAATATGTGCGAAATTTGTCAAATTTTGCAAAAAAAAAATATGACAGCATTTATGCCAAAATCCATACACACAAATTAATATCACATAATTTGCATATAATCATGAAATCATAAGGGACAACCATTAGACATCATGTTAGCATACAGATCCAGCCATCCAGGTGACGTTAAGGTCTAGATCACTTACTAACATGTCTATATGACAGGGCATAATTTGCAGTGTTCAGCAGAAATCGGAAACCTCCACAATAACAATTGCAGGCATCAGACATCAGACACCGAGCTCTCAGATCACTCTGGACAAGAATTAGCTAAAGATACTTACCATGGATTTTTGGGGAAATTTTGTCTCGAGGCAGTCCATGCCCTCTGCCGCCTGTGACCATGGCCTGTTAGCACCCGTGCCGGCGCACCCCGCTGCCGCCTGCGCCGTCACAGCCCACTGCCGGTGCGCCCTGCAGCCCCACGCGCCGCCGCGGTCTGCTGCCTCACGCATCGTCGCAACCTCCTCGCGCCCCGCGCCGCCGAAGCCTGCTCGCGCGCTCCCGGCCCCGCCCGCACGCGCCCGTCGCCGGCCACCAACCCGCGCCGCCCACGCGTAGCCGCCGCCTCACGCGCCCGTCACCGGCCACCATCCCGCGCCACGAATGCGCAGCCCCCCCCCCCCCATTCAGCTAGGGTTTCTTCACGATCTGGGAACGGTGGAGCACGAGATGTCTGAACGAGTGTGACGAGGAAGAGATAAGGCAGGGGAAATTTAGTCATTTCGCGTGTGTCAAATTTTGTTTTTTTTTTTCATCGTTTAATCAGGTGAGAACTAACGCTGGTACAAACTAGGGCCAAACGGAGTGTTTGTTTCGAAAAAGTACGGAGTAAAATCATAAAGTAAAAAAAATAGAAGTAAAATTACTATTCCAATATGCAATAGGGGCAGAAATATCAAATTCTCTAAATACTTTGTGTATGTAGTAGTAGTAGATAACTAAATAAGGAGTATGATCAAATATGTCTATCTAGCCATTACACCTGTGTGTTGAAACGGGAGTGCACTCCTTTAGCCTAATATAAACATGGTAAGAAAAAGAAAACTCGAGTCCTAGTGAACCTAAGTTTTCATAGATATTTTATTTTAAGCTGCTACCATATTTAAAAAAATATATTTCATACATGGAGATGTAACCAAACCATATCCTTTCAATTATTGTCCTGCAGCAAAAAAGGGAGGACAAACATATTTGGAGGTTCTCTTCTAATGGACAATATTGAACCAAGTCAAACATATGAGGGCTTTTTCTTAGGTGCTACCCTCTTTACACCGTGGGAAATGTTTTGGAAGTATTGGGTGCCACCAAAACGTTGGTTCTTCGTGTGGTTAGTTTCACATAACAAATGATAGATGACATACTGCCTTGCACGTTGTGGGCTGCCATGCCTGGAACGCTGTCTACTATGTGATCAAGATAAGGAAACCACCAACCATCTCCTGACGATCATCTGCATCTTCACTAGGGAATTTTGGTTTCATCTACTAAGACATGTCGGTCTTCAGGCCTTATCCCCACAACCTATTGAAAACACCTTTCTTTGGCAGGGAGCTAGTAATGCTACTTCCACTAGTACAAAAATCATTTTTAGCGAGGCCACCCTTTTTAATCAGAGGTGGTTCAACTAGCACACCGCCTCTAACCAGGCCGGTGAGCACTGTAGCTCCGTGACCGCCTCTGAAGATCCAAATTCAGGGGAGGTTCTATTAAGAAAACCACCTCTGATAGACGTCCATTTTCAGGGGTGGGTGCTTTAAGAGAACCGCCCCTGAAAATGGATCTTCACATGCGGTCCTCTTTACAAAACCGTCTCTAAAAGTGACCTATTTTCAAAGACGGTTCCTCAAGAGAACTGCCCTTACAGATGAATTATTAGAGGCGGTTCTCTTTAGTCAACCGCCCTAAAAATGCTCCTCCTCCTAATTCTTCCTCCTCAGGACAGCCTGCATGTTGAGCACCATTAGCTCACTTGGAGGGCGAGAAATAGCAAAAATAGAGGGGGAGGTTTTGCCCTTTGAACCTTTAAAGGAGTTAGGTTTGAGAGGTGAGATAGTGGCATCCCTAAAGTCTTTTCAAACTTCACATGTACATTTCTGTCACTTAGAGATCTAGAGAGAGACATGCATGATGTTAGATTTTTTTATTTTTCCTAGACTAATTTTTGCTCAACTTACTTTGGCTCACATGATATCTATTTAATTTCTATATTTACTTTATCATTTTTAAGCTTTAGGTCTAGAATAATATAATATTTTTATAGAAAAATAGACATCAATTGCTTCAACATTTATATGCGAATAATACCTTCATGCAAATATACCTTTTATTTTTTTAAGGACACATACGGACAGGTCATGGATGTACACGAAAAGAAGACATGAAGCTTCCTACATAGAAGATGTGAATGGTTTTATTGAATCAGCTAAAAGGCACCTTTTGATTAAGCATACAAAGGATATATCTTGTCCCTGTTTTGACTGTCGGAACCGTATAGTATGCCGAGATCCAAATACGATAAGATCACACTTGGTAAGAAGGGGTTTCATGGAGAACTATGAGATTTGGGATCATCATGGTGAGAGACGTATAGAAGCAGGCAACATGGAAGGTACAAATGCATCAGAAGTAAGGGAAGATGGCGATGCCCATCATCTTGTCATGATGCATGATGGTACAGGAGATTACATTGCAGGCGATGGTGGTGGAGAAGGCGGTGGTGGAGAGGATGATGGTGAAGACAATGAAGAACATGAAGAAGAAGACTTCCTGGACGACATGTTGCGCCACATAGAACAAAAATTACTATTGAAAGGGCTAGATAACTTGGAGACGGTGCGAAAGGCAAGGAAAGAACGTTTGTACCGGAAGGAAAAGGGTTGTGAGAAAAGGTGGTTGTTGCTACAAAGGTTTCATTAGTGTTTTACAGACGTATGTAATCTTAGTTTACTACCTGTGATATTAATTTTTGCATCCGATTGTTGTTATGTTGAAACTGATTATTTTTTCCTTTGAACAGCGCCTATAGATATTACGTTAAAGAAGGTAGAGTGTATAACCCATAGAAGAAGGATAAGATGACTGTTTCTTTTCATTCATCTGTACGACCATTTTCTAACCCAAACAACAAGAATATTGATTATATAGAACAATGCGTTTGACTATATTGTTTTTTATGTCACTGACTTGCAGTGCGTGAGGCAGCCTCCCGAAACTGTGCTTTGTGGCTACTTTGTATGTCAATGGATAAGATCCAACGGCATTTACTACAATAACCTTGAAGATGTAAGTCGATCCATCGAACCATACCATATGCATATGTCCATTAATATGAATCTAGCTAATTTTGCCCCTTTTCTTTTTTTTCAGCATCAGACGCTGTTGCCTTCAGAAAAAATTGATCAAAATGATATTCAGCTAGTGCAAAATGATTTCCGCAAGTTCTTGATGCGGGAGGTTATTAATCCTAGGGGCTTATTCTTTGATCCTAAATCGGAGTATGCCACACATCCCAAGTTTAAGTCTCTTCGCGGTGCAAGCATGGAACCCTTCCTTTCATTTTTCGGGCAGAAGCACAATTATTGATAATTAGTATTTTGTAATGTGTATTTGAAATTATGCTACAAATATTTTGTTGATCATGTGTGAATTAATACAGTTAACTAGTCCACTAGTGTGTATTTATGAAGTTAATTTGAATCATTTGCAATCGGGTCTGAAATTTGGTGGAAAACGCGATTTCAAATATGGCAAAATTTTTCAAATTCCAAAATTTGAAACTGATTTTCAGAGGCGGTTGATTATACCACCCCTAAAAATGCATTTTCAGAGGCGGTTGCACTGCCACAGCCGTCCTTGAAAAAGATATTTTCAAGGACGGTTGCATTGCAATAGCCGCCCCTGAAAATGCCTTTTCAGAGGCGGTTCATGTATTTGGACCGCCCCTGAAAAAGTATTTTTAGAGGCGGTTCATGTATTAGAGCCGCCATTGAAAATGAAATTTTGGAGGTGGTTCCAATGGAACCGCCCCTGAAAATACCATTTTTAGGGATGGAGTTCCTAACTAAATCGCCCCTAGGAATGCATTTTCAGGGGCGGTTAAAAGCCTGTCGCTAGAGACGCCCCACTTTTACAAATCGGTGGCATAGTTGCGGTCGGGCTAACCGCCCCTGAAAACCCAATTTAACCACCCCTAAAGAAGTTTTTTTATAGTAGTGTTGTGAATTGGTGAAGTAAGGTGTTAATTCCCTAATTATTCTTAGGGCTTGGGTTCTTTGGAATCATTGCAATCGTTGTGTTTTTGATGGATCGGCACACCAAGTGTTGCTGGGCTTTAGTCATGTCCGGTGAGAAACCCCGTTGTGGTCCACGACAAAGGCTCGACTATCCCTCTTGTCCACCCCCCTTCCAGGTGATTAGTTTTTTGGTCTACGTGGGTCGACCTTTATTTGTCAAAGGCACGTTTGTGTTTAAGGTTGCTGTAGCATTGTGTTGTGTGAGTGCGTTGTGATGTATGTGTGTGGTGTAAGTGTTGTTGGGTTCTTACACCCGTTCTCTTCTTAATATAATAATAATGATGCGCAAATTTAGTGTCTTTTTCCAGATAAACGTGTGCATGTTATAGTGACATCTCCATATTCTCGGTACTACAAACCTCGATGGAGATGACATGGCATATGTATAGACATAAAAGCAATTGAGTTAGCATTTATGATTTGATTTGTTTGGTTTGTCAGGTTGCATGATGGCTAATGCTCAAATTGAATTACTTGTGCAAAAAACTCATAAACACAACAACTTGGTAGTGGAATCCATCTCTTAAGCTAAGGTTATAAGTATGATTCCTTATCTTTCCATTATATATTTTGTGATATGCTTTTATAGTTCCTCCTCTGCTTCCAGTTTTCTCCATTTTACCTCTTTCCCATGGAAAAAAGCAGTTGTTCTTTTTTCTCAATCTACCTCTTTTCTATGGAAAAACCAGACTTGAGGTTGTGCGTAACATGAATGGGACGGACGAAAAAGAAAAAAGAGAACCGGAAGAACTGCACGGACGTGTGGACGGGTGGAATGAAAAAAACTGGAAACTGAAAACCCAGATTGGGGAGAATGAAAAAAAAGAGGAAAAATAGACAACGGATGAAGAAATCTTAATTAATGACTTTAATATTGAGGATTGCTAGATTTACCGAGTAAACGATTGTGAGCAGGCTCATGTTCCATTTCAGCTGCCAAGTCGCCTTTTCTCCGTTCATTACGACCCCCACAACAGCCATTTGGATGCAGCCCACGAAGCATGTGGCAACCGTGGACCAGTACTTGTACGGAACACTTTCAGCATCTGGGCCTGCAGCAATTACAAGACTACATGATGTTTTCCTAAAACTATATGTATGTTTCTCCTGTTCAATTAATTATGATCAGCAGAGAGTTGACATCAAAGCATCACTTTAAT